ACTAATGAAACTGATAGTTCTTTTTAATTTTCTAATGTAAACACAACTCTTGAAGTCCTGTGGGCTCCCTGGGCATCAAAGTGCTCATGATGGAATCCTTTATTGTGGTAACAATCATACATTAGACATTTCACACCTACCCTTTCTCAAGGGAACAGTGTGACTCAGGACAGACCCATTGCCACATATGACAGTCAAGCTCTTGTAATTGATGGTAGGGGACTTCACAGTGCTTTCACGAAATCCTCCAATGTCCTAAAGTGGGAGCACAATCTTCCTTGGCTGAGGTTCAGCCTTGCACATGTTTAAAAATGTTTGTGCTTCCTTGCTAAAATGCCATTCAGAAGAGTGGATGGGGTGCAAGAGCTACTTTCATCCCCATCCAGTAGAGACAGGTGCTGCTGGTTAGATCCCTGACCACATTGGGTAGTGCTCACACAAAAACAAATGTACATTTTTCATTTTGCTAGCCATTTAGCTAAAAAATAATTTAAAAAGTCAATATGCTCAGATAGCCCAAAGATTAGGAAAAAGGATATTTTATATAGCCACAGTAAAAGATGCACCTAACTATTAACATGGGTTTAAGAGGTCAAACTCAAATTGTGGTCTAAGTAGCTACAATTCCATTGATCTGCACCAGGTGTATCAGTGTTTTCCTAGATTCCAACAGAAAGTTTCAGATCCCGAACTGAGCTAGGTATATCTTACAACAATCTAGCTTGTTACCAGAAATGCATAGTAAAGAGAGTTATGTATACAGATTATTTATACAGTTGCTTATACAGATTAAAGACAAAAGAGAAAAATAAGGCTAGGGTTGTGGTGTTGTTTCAATTAACCTTCAAATCTTTTTATTGCCAGAACAAAAAGTTATTTTGAGTGAGTTTTTTTCAGTTTCTCTCTCTTCCATAAACCCCAAAGACAGCCCCCATTTTAAACACCACCCCCAACTTATTCAGGAAGCATCTATTACAATGAAGTATAGTGGTCACTTGAAACAAAGGCTGAAAAGAAAGAAACAGAAAGTTCTGTGGGTTATTCAAATGATAGCAGCAGTGCATATTCCAGCTGGCAGCTCTGGGTCATCTTCTTTCTGCCTCTTCTTAACTGCCACGTAGTAGATGTTGCCAGCAGACCTCATTGGGACCTTATAAGAAAATTACACTAATGCAGCACAGATCAACAGATGAAAAGATTGGCCACTGTATCCACAGATAGATTACAAGTGCTGTTAGAGGTTGTTTTTCATTAATACTTTCCCTAAGCATAGAGGTGCACACAAAAAGCGAGGAATTGCTATTTTCACTAGCTGAAGTATCTTCTACATTCTCCCCTTTACCCCATAGTAGGTATTTTTATTTGCTGGGATGATTTCCAAATTGTATCAGAGGAATTGTTCTGCTCCAGGCTTTATCTCCCTTTAACTCATTGTGTGACTTGGGCTAGTCCTGTAACCTCATTTTCCTCACATCTGGGTAGCTAAATGAATCTTCACTCCCCTCTCAGCTTTCAGGAAGCAGAGCAGGGAATTACAGCACTGATCTGTGCTCCCCCCCCACTCTCCACGCTCTAAAACTGCAACTGAGAGAGTGCAGGGAGCCCAGATTGAAGCTCTTATCCTGGAACTGCATCACTCAGTATCTTGCTGAGCATCAGAGGACTGTTATATGCTGTGAGTAAGGCTACGATTTTGTCATGGAAGTCACGGAGTCCATGACTTCAGCCAGCGGTGGCTGGGAGCTGCGGGGTACCTGTGGCCCCTGAACTCCAAGCCGCTGCAGGCGGCCGGGGACCCCCGCTACCCTCAGAGCTCCCGGCCACCACAGGCGGCTGGGGGGACCCCGCAGCTTGGTGCCACAGGTGAAGGGGGACCCTGGAGCTCTAAGCCCCCATGGGTGGTGGGGAGCCCCAAAACTCCCAGCCGGGCTCCCAGCAGCTGCCCAGTGGCTCTCCATTTTGTCAAGGATATTTTTAGTAAAAGTCAGGGACAGGTCACAGGCTTCCATGAATTTTTCTTTATTGCCTGTGACCTGTCCCTGACTTTTACTAAAAATATCCATAACAAAATCTTAGCCTTAACTGTGAGCCAATAGGGTGCTTGCTGCACAGGCACACATCTTCAAAAGAACCCCGCAAAATGCCTCACGTGTCCCTGAATCATCTGGTTCTACAGAATGGAAAACTGGGGCAGATCTGTCACTGAAGTGTCTGGGAGAGCTTAACTCACTAAGAGGAGAGGCACAAATTGAACCCTTCCTGAATAAGTAACAATAAATAAATAAATAAATCGCTCAAATTTTTATTGCATATTTACAAGTAATCTGGCCCTGACAGAATAAATACCTACAGTATCTTATTTATATAAAGTATGGATAATTCACATCGCTTTTTCACCTGTATAGTAAAGCTGTTTAATATGTACACACACACTATGAGTTAATGTTTAAAATAGAGGGGACTTTTCCTCCATTAAATATATAAATTGCTCTCTTTAAAGTTATCAAATTAAAACAGCAGACTCCTTTATTCTAGAATAGAGGCAATACTTACATCAGAAACTTTATCTGATGATGCCACCATGCCATTTGAATGGATTATTGTTTTGGAGTGGGGTATCTTACAGAACAAACAGAAAGACATGGTCCTTGACCAAAGAAGAACAATCTAAATATCTGCAAAACATATGGAATACATCATATGAACAATCAAAAACATGAGCAACAAATTTGTGCATTGCACTGAACTTTTACATCTTTTTTTATTTAAGAAATGAGGGGTCGGTTTCAGAAGACAGGTGAGATGTGGAGGTTTGAGTGTAGGGTATTCTGTTATGGAGGAAAATTAAATAGTCCCCAAAGAAAAATGACCAATCAGTGCACAAGTGTTTATTATGCAGAGAGAGAGAGAGAGAGATACAAACTCACAAAATATTGCATCCTAAATTCCTCTACTTCCAGCATATTTAGTTCAGATTCTCAATAAAAGAGAGTTTTCCAGACACACAGGAACCCCCTCCTGGAAGATTTAACTGGGTTAACTCAACTTCTTCATTCCCTGCTCCAAAATCCCAACCTTTTTGGCCTGTCCCAAGGGAAAACCTCCTCCAGCATTAACCTTGGAGACAAAACTTTGCTTGAAAAAGCCTCTACTGAGAAGTAAAACCCATAATAGAGGAAAGACTGACAGTTCATTACACTGAACTGTCTAAACAATGAAAGCAAAGTACAAACAATTCACACATGGACTAATTCCTACTAGTACACCACCTCAATTAGGCCAAATAAAATCCCTTATGTATGAGTGAAGGTAGCTGCTCTCTTCTTTTAGGTCCTAGGCAGCTGCTCTGTCACCCATACCATCATTTCCCCCCCATGAACCCACTTTAATCTATGGTTATTTGCATGTGGAAGAGTCTATCAGAAAACACACTGGGATTGTTTAAGAATAATTTAGCCATTCTGTAATTACATTTGAATGGATAATTATATTGTAGACACCTTGGGCAGGGAAAAGGTGCTTTTGCTTTTTTGTCAAAGACCTCTACTGGTATAACTCCACAGGATGGAGTTATTGGGCAGGTTTCCTGTCCAAAGGGCAGGGGGGCAAAACTAAGATGAGGACTTGTCCTTTCTCATCTTAATCTTCTGCTTTTATATCAGAGGAAGTATTGTATTTTGAACTCAAGGCAAATAATGTTGTCTAAGTATGTGATATTAAAGGTGCTTTGTTTCTAAAACAATATTTTAATAGGAAACAATCCCTGATGTCAATTTGAGATCTCAGTCCCCAATCATGCAATGTGTTGACTATCTCCCAATAGGTATTGACCACCTCCAGCTTGCACAGAAGTCAATGGGGTTTTAGACAGCTCAGCACCTTGCAGTAGTAATCTTACACATTAACCTTTTTTTATTGGTCGAGTATCATGCTACTTTTTAAATTCAATTAAAGTATACGGCACAGAATTAGAACTGAATGTCCAGAGCTATGCTGGAAGACTCTACACCCCCCCCATTGCAATTAAATAAGGAGATAGTATCAGCCTCCAATATTATGGGTCTCACCCATCATACGTCGAAATGGTCAAACTTTTTCAAAATTCACCATTTCGATGAAATTTTTCAAAGAAATTCCAATGAAAAGCTGCAGGATGAATTTTTTGTCAATGTTATGAAAATTACATCTCATTTTTTGACCAGGTCTATCAGAAAAATAGACTTTTTATTACAGAAACTTTTTAATATGCAGTATACTAGATTTCCCCCCTATTCTATAATGTTACTGCTAACACAATATCATTTTTTTGGTATAATTTAACAGTTTGCTCTCATACACAGGGCCAATACAGTAGCCCTCACTAAGCGGGAATACTCATGTGAGTAAGAGCTGAAATATCAGTCCCATAGTACATCCTCAGTGCTGCAGACCAGATCTATAAAAACGATTTTAATAAAGGGAAAGAGTATTGTTACATTATAAAATTAATAAAAGTACTTCTACTCAGTGTTTATCCTGAAAACCCCTTCCTTGTATGATTAGCCATTACTCTTGTGAGTAATCACTTTGACATTAATCAATGGTATTACTCACATGAGCAGGAATTTTGCAGCATTGGGTTCATTAATTAATCTTGGACATCCTTGAAACAGGTTAAGTATACTCATTTTACAGTTAGGAAAAAAAAATCTGACAGATGACATGATTATCATTAAAACCAATAATACAGATATCTATGGCTAGAAGTCATTTCTACAATAAGGTACAATTGCAAAGTTCTGCCACTAAAATGTCATCTAATATAGATTTTAAAGACAGGTTTCAGGGTAGCAGCCGTGTTAGTCTGTATCCTCAAAAAGAACAGGAGTACTTGTGGCACCTTAGAGACTAACAAATTTATTAGAGCATAAGCTTTCGTGGGCTACAACCCACTTCTTCGGATGCATATAGCATATAGCATCCGAAGAAGTGGGTTGTAGCCCACGAAAGCTTATGCTCTAATAAATTTGTTAGTCTCTAAGGTGCCACAAGTACTCCTGTTCTTTTTATAGATTTTAAAGAACATCCTTCATCTTTACAGCTGGGCTGAAAGCAAATCACAATTTTATGCTTCATATTTACATGTCACATCAAATGTTCTTGTGGGTTTTCAATGAGCAGAATCCATCCCAGAAGTTGTACCTTCAGTTTTCCATCATGTAGTAATTTCTACAAGTCCTATGAAAGTAGAACCTGACTGCACTCTCCTTCAACTCATGCTTCCCCCAAAAGGGTATATAGGAGCAAAGCTTCACAAATACTTTCTGCTGAATATAACATGAAAAAAGGGCCCAGAAGATGTACACTGTACATTCTGAGCCTTTCATCCATCAGGAACTCTGTGAACAAACAAGCTTCCTGATTTATTCTTCCCTCAAATGCCTATATTCGCCATCCTGGTAAAGACTTTTGCAAGAACCTAGAAGACCATATCATCACACTCATCTTTTCCATCCTAGCTATTTTTATTTTCAAACTTCAGAGCAGAGGAGTGTAATTTACAGCACTAGCTAAAAGGGTATATTGGTTTATGCTTCAGGGTTAAGGAGAATGTAAAGTGACTGCAATTTATTACTTTAATACAACAGCTTATGAAACACAACCACTAGTTTTAGATGACTGAGTTTACCATAAAACAGCCATAAACAAAAATAATGATATTCAGTAAATCATGTAATACCAGTCATATTTTATGTGTTTCTGAAGAACACAGAAGGCTACCTAAAAATAATAAAGACTTGGGAAGATATTCATGGAAGAGGGATGATGTTTGTTAGAATTTTCCCATCTTTTCAAATCTTAAATTTCTCTGTAAAAAAAAAAAAAATACCAAAACAAGCTTAGATTTGGAGAACTGCACATTGCAGTAAAAGCTGTATTTTTTTCTGTGTGTGTACATACATACCTGTAGACATACAGATAAATGTACTCAGTACTTTTATTTGAATCTCATGTACAAAATGCATTTATATGAATTTGAGCAGTTATCAAAGCAAGTGTTCAGTGTATTCTTTTGAACACTGCAAAAATGTTCATAGAATCATATAATAGAATCATAGAATATCAGGGTTGGAAGGGACCTCAAGAGGTCATCTAGTCCAACCCCCTGCTCAAAGCAGGACCAATTCCCAACTAAATCATCCCAGCCAGGGCTTTGTCAAGACGGGCCTTAAAAACCTCCAAGGAAGGAGACTCCACCACCTCCCTAGGTAACACATGCACTCTGAACATGCACTCATAGTTCTCCTATTGTGCTTTTCTTTGAAAACAACCAATAAATTAAATTTAATCAAAACAATTCTAATAAAACATTGTAGTTAAGATCTGAATTGCTCAAAAGTAGGGAAATTCCAATCTAAGGATCCTGTTACAAACTGCATACATCCATATGCCATGCTGCATAGTTCCAATTCAGCAAGGTATTTAAAGCACATGCCTAGGAGCTCCACACATGATGAGTCCCATTGATCTTAATGGGAATACTCACATGTGTAGTTTGGCATATGCTTAAGTACAGTAATTCACTGAACTGGGGTGTGCTGATATGAATGCAGAAAATTTTACCACCATATATAATATCTTGTGTAGCTAACTGCATGTTCTCAGTGGGACCCGTACAAATTACAGTTGCTGTGGGAAACATAACTTGATATTTTAAATACACTGAAGAAAGAATATCCAAACTACAGTGCTGAATTAACTTTGGTTTTGGAATTTAATATATGGAACATTCTTCTTAATTTTTCTGAAACTCACATTTGGATTGCAAAAGCAAAACAACTGATGACAAGAGGTTGGGGGTGAGGGGGAGAATGTTAGTTTCTGGACCAAGGTTCCTTCAGCCCTTAAGACATCAGAGCCATTAAACAAGACGGTGTAAATGCCAGCTGTTGTTTGTTTGAAAGGATACAATGTTCTTCAATGACAAAACCACTCTTCTACAACAAGGTCAGATTGTTTTATGCATGTGTTGCTATGGTGAGAGAGAAAAGAGTTGATGAAAAACTGGATGACTACTTGTCTCATTGCAGAGAAAGCAACAGAAATTGAAGATTAACATACTCTAGACCCATCATATATTGTACCCTATGCACTTAATATGCAATACCCAAGCATACAAATGGATACTTTCAACATTCTGTAAGCCTTCAAGATGTAGAATTTAACCAATTACAAATTATTCTTTCATATCATTCAGCTACACACACCTGAATGAGTGCAGGTGTTCTTGCCACCTCATTCCCTCGGAAATTTTGCCCAAAGTGGGAGGCAGCTTTAGTTAATAGCTGGAGCACCACTAGCCAAAGCTGCTGAGGAGGTGGTACTAAATCAGCACTTGTAGGAGATGACCCGTAATTCTCATAGTACTTTGAATTTCCGATACCTTTTAAAATATCTTGTTTTTCCTTCTGTCCATCTAGATATGAGGGGTTTTTTAGTGTGCTCTCTTAGCTGAGTCTAGTTGCTGTGGAGATTACAGACACTTACTACCTTTCTCCCACTGCCTGAAACTGTAGCCAGAATGGTTTCTTTAAAACTATTTTTTATTTTCCAGCACTTCCCTGTGACAGTGTTGTCTCCCTTCAATACACATTTCCAAAAATGTGTTCTCCTGATTGTGAAGCAAGAACTGAGAAATTGCTTCCTGCCTCTATTATCTATTTCCACTTCCAACTGTCTCCTGACTCCATCCACATGTTCTTATGGCTCTTTCACTGCACTGCCTCTGCACCCTCCCACCTACAAGTGTCCTGGGTCATCCTTCTCACCTACCTCTCCAATGATCCTGATTCCAGACTATGCAGAGGTCCCCAAACCTCTTCCCCCAGATGCAGACTCCCTCCTGTCTTTTGAAAAGTCTCCCAGTTTCTCTCACATCTACTTTCATCACAAGATTGCCTCAAATTCCTCCCCAGCTGCCTCTGAAATTCAGGTTCCTCACTCCATCCTTATCCCAGTTGTAGATTCCCTCCCACAAAATCTCTTAAGCTCCCTCTCTAGTTGCCTCCCAGCTGCATTCCCTCCTCTCTCACACATCCTGGGGGAAGATCTGCAACTAGTATAAATTATCTTATCTCCAGCAGACAACAGGTCTGACCATTTACACCAGCTGAGGATCTGCCATCTGATATTTGTATCATTTCTGGTCATCGGAGGCAGGACTAGTGCAAAGGAACTTTTCACATTTTCATATCTGATACAACAACAAACACCTTCCGCTTGTTTGTGCGAAGTATTCTGGAGGAAGAAAAAATGCTAGACTTTCATCCCAGATAGGCAAGTGATGCAGATGGAATAGTTAAATCAAATAACCACAATTCCAGCTACATTTTAAAGTACAATCACACGTTTTATTTATGCCAGTGACAAGTACAATACTACTTGCAAAACAAATGATTGTAATTTAGTTTTATGCTAAACAAGCATGTTTAAAAAGCAGCTACTTTTTGTTATTAACAACCTGACAACTGGTACATTTTAGATGTTCACTTCTATGCAACTGCAGAGTATTAATATGGTGCCAGTTTAAAGTGAGGAGCTACTGCTGGATAATGAAAGGTAATGAAAATTGGGAATTATAGCAGCCGTAAGCAAAGTAATTTGAATAAGTACTGGACAAAATTATTTTCATATGGAAATAATGCTCCCAACTGACAAAAAGGGTGAAAAATTGAGCTGTTCTTTGCAAATATAAAAAAGTGTAAAAGATTTAATAACTACAGATGTTTCCACTCAAGGCTCTATGTGAAGGTACTGTAACAAAAATAATAGTCTGTTATATATTCGTGATCATCTCACTGCCTCAATTTTTTGGTCTTTGAAATTTTCATATGTAATAAAGCAACTGTATTGTTTGACTGTTTCTGAAGTGTCAATGACTTCATATAGCCACTTAACATAGTACAGGGCTGCACAGTCTCACTTTATGCAAAACCCTTATTATAAGTACTTATTAAAAAAAAGAAAGGTGAGAAGATTCAGACATCAAGTTCAGTTGTGAGCAAAGGGAACCATACATCAAAAGGAGCTCTCAGGCCTTGGCTTTTAGCATATTGTAGTTTCTATCAGAAAGTGTCCATAAGGCTAAATCCTGAAGGTAGGGCTCTTTTTGGAGTCAAGGGTCATTTTGCCTGAGTTAAGGATTTCAGTATTTAATCCACAGAATTTAGAAATGGAGGAGATCTATTAGGTTATCTTATCTAAGCCATGGAAGGCAACACAGGATTGTTGCATAAAGAACATTAAGGAGCAGATCTTGTCCTGCTGAAGTCAATGAGAGTTTTGCCATTGATTTCAATGGGGCCTGGATCTCATCCTAAGTATTTTGTTCAGTCTAGTGCGGGGTCGGCAACCGGAGCCGCTCAGCCCGCTGCTGGTCTGGGGTTCTGGCCGCCGGACCCTTGCCAGCCAGGGTCCCGGCCATTGGCCCAGCTCAGCCTGCTGCCAGCCTGGGATACCAGCTGCCGGCCCCGCTCACCTCGCTGCTGGTCTGGGGTTCCAGCCACCCAGCCCCTTGCCAGTTAGGGTCCGGGCCTCCAGTCCTGCTCAGCCCCCCTGCCAGCCTAGGGTACCGGCAGCCAGCCCAGGGCTCTGCTCCTGGCCTGGTCCCAGCGCTCTGCAGCCCTTATCAAAAATTACACTACAATTAGCTTAAAAACTTGAAAACTTAAAAACTTTGTTTGTATATTACAGTAATCGTTAGAACATGTATAATGTTAATAAATACATAGGTTTGATGAAACAAAATAGTTGTTCTTATGTGCCTGTGCTTAATTTGTGTTTTCGATGATTTACCTTCTAAAAAAATCTCACGTCTTGCACCCCCTGGGGGTGCATGCACCCCAGGTTAAGAACCACTGCACTAAACTGATAAGATCTGCATTTTAATTTAATTTTAAATGAAGCTTCTTAAACATTTTAAAAACCTTGTTTACTTTACGTACAA